TTTTTTGCATCTTTAGTGAATTTTTTACATCACACATGGAGTTGATGTGTTGGTGATGTGACAAATTCTATTAGTTTTTTGGATGAAAGTTAGTCTAGGAATAAAGTGGGAAGGATTGCAAACATGAAATGCCAAAATGGGAAGTATTGCAAACATGAAGGGCCAAAGTAGAAAAAATCAAACTTAAGGGGCCAAAGTGGGAAGGATTGCAAACATGAAGGACCAAAGTGAAAGATTGCAAAGATGAAGGGCCAAAGTGGAAAAAATTAAATTTAAAGGGCCAAAGTAAGAAATGGGTGAAACTTTAAAGGGAGAAAAGTGTAATTTATAATTTTCCAAACGTAATACTCTAATCAATGTATTCCCAAATAACACTCCAATGTAACAAATACAAAAGTATTAAAAAACTCCTTAGTGTACTTTTTCTAAACGTAACAGTCACAATTTGAAATTATATATTTATCCAAAACTTACTAAGAAATTTTTGTACTCCTTTTGGAATGGTTTGAAAAATCACACATCCTTTTTGAATGGCTTGAAGAATACATCTTTTTTGTGTGTTACATTAGAGTGTTAGACTGACGACCCCGACATGCATATCATTATTGCATATTATTTTATTAAGGGAATAAGCATGTTTAGGTGTTTAATTTTGGTGTATATCTGTTTGATTATGAAATATCTGTTAAAATACCTATCTTGTTTCAGAAATTGAAGGCCCAAATGAATTCAGAAACCAAAATTGGCTAGTTCCATAGGCTAATTAGAATATTTAGACCCATATGGGAAGTTTGATTAAAATTTAATTCAAATTAAATTAATTAGAATTAAATCATTAGAATTGAATAAGATTAATTAGACTAATGTTAGATTAATTAACCTTCAGCCTATTAATTAGTCTAACCTAATCTAACCTATATATATATATATATATGTATGTATATGCTATAAGCTAAGAGAATGAACTCATAACATTACATTTGTGCTGAAATTTTGAGTGAATGAGATCATTTAAGAGAGAGAGAGAGAGAGAGAGCTCGAGAACTTGAAGAATTGCTTGGAGGATTAAAGAATTAGGAAGAAAAGTCAAGTTTTTCGAAGAATAAGCTTAGTTGAAAACTTTAGATATGAAATCCAACTTCAATTCTTGATAATAACTCATCTCGTAAATGAATTCATGACGATTATGAACTTAATCACAAGAAAATGGTTGAATGATGTTGAATTTGAGGCTAGAGCATACATGCATGCATAATTCCATCATATTTGACCATTTTGAGCTTGAGTTTTAGTGTTCTTGTTAAATTGAGAGATGAATTTTACATGTATCAAAGAATTACAAGTTTTTAAGAGTTTAATTTCATGTTTTTAGGTTTTGTAAAGAGTTTGAAAGAAATTCCATAAGTACATGGAGATTTTGGTTTCAAATTTGCCAATTCATGGTATTTTCGAGCTTATAGTTTCAAATTGAGTTCATACATATGTTTTTCTATGTATTTTCAAGAGTTTGATACAACCATGCAAGTTTCGAACTTAGATATTCATGTTTTGAGACTTGAACTCTGTTATGGAAAACCTAGAATTCAGTCAATTCGCTCGAGCAGTGAAGATATTGCTCGAGCGCACTTCGCATGCATCCAACATTTTTGCAGAAACGTTGCACATAGCTTGAGCGACCGAATGTCCGCTCGAGTGAACTCATCTTTCATTACACTTGGCTCAAGCGAGCCTGGATTTCAAGCATCCAGAACTTTTGCAGACCATACAGACCGCTTGAGCGACCAAAGGTTCGCTCGAGCAAGCTGCCCTATTTCAGTAGCTTTTGCAAAATACTTTCAAATGCTTACTTTTATTTCCATGATCTTTCAGGAATTCTTGGGCATTGTTTAGGCATCATTAATGAGAGAATAAGGTAGAAACACATTTAAGAAAATTGAATTAAGTTGGAACGTTTGATTAGACAATGTGTATCTTTATTACGTGTTTTGTGTAGGTGGTCATCTGAAGGTTAACATCAGTTCAAACCCACAGTGAGTAAAATCTCTATAAAGATATGTTCGAAAAGTATTTTGAATTGCTCAATAATGATAATTTGAAATCTTATTTTGTTATCTCTCAATGAATGTCCTTTTTAAAAATTGTATTCGCGACATCTTTTAGTAAGTCCCTTGTCTGGGGGACATAATATCATGGCCTATTAGATTAATTGAAACACAGAGATCTCTGATGTTAGACCCTAGTGGTTCACATTGAATTATCCGTTGTGGTTCTATTTATTGACCCGTTGTGGTCCTATTGAACTGACCTTAATGATCCCATTGACTTCGACATATTGGTTTATTGTTTCTCTATTGGATGTTACCATGTATAATGATTTGCAATGAATATTGTTAAAACAGATGATTGATATGAATTTGATATATGACTATTATACGAATTGTTTTGGATATTAAAAAGATATGTTTTATGAAATGTTGGACTTCATTCGGTTGCGGTCAGAAAACCTCCAATCTGCCAGATTAGCAGATTGGAAAAAATCAATCCGCATCCGTCCTACGGATTGATGGATACAGATTGCGCAAATTAGCTAATGGATGCGAATCAGTTTGGCAGTTTAAACTTTTACAAATTTTAAACATAATACAAGTTGTCAATATTTTTTTTTTTTTTTTGGAAACAATCCAACTCAATATAACCAAAAGATTATCAAGTAAATTGTCAAATAAAAAACCATGCTTTATCAAAATTATTTCATTATTTCTTTTATTCAAAAACTATTTAATTTGAATTTTTTTTTTAAATGACAAAATTGAGCCTTATATTTTCCACACAAAAATATCAAATATCAACACTTGCCATTTGCTAAAAGGATATCCAAATTGAAAACACAATATAATATCTAAACTCTTTTTCAATTGAAAATATAAACAAAATATCTAAACAAATTAAAAACACAAAGTCTTACAAATTACTAGGGGTGCTCGTGGTTTGATGGTTCGGTTGCGGCCAAAGGAACCTCAAATCCGCTATCAGTCCAAAACTAGGTGGATTGAAAAAAATAATTCCATAATCGTCCGCTCGTCATCATGCATCCATCCAAAATGCGGCAGATCGGTTCGGTTCGGTCGGTTTGGACGAATTGGAATATCCGATGCTTACCCCTACTTATATATATGTAAGTGAGCATGTGAATCGTCAAGTTTAAAGATACTTTGGGAGTCCATCTTTTTTGAGAAGCCATATGTGAAGTGCTTCCGTGATGGGGTGTTACTTGGTCTCAAGCGGAGCCAAGCTTGTCAACTTTTTTTTTTTTTTGGTCGTTGTTATTCGGGAACTTTTCTTTTGTGTAATGATATTGTGTAAAACAAGTTGAAGTTTGTTGAAAATATATTTAAGTATGAAGATTGAATTTAAATTATTTGTGAGATTTGTAATGTAAGCACTACTCAATGGAATTATTCTTATTTTGTTATAGCTTCCGTTAAACCCCATTTATAATTATACAATTTGATTTTGTTATAGAGGCCAAAGGTAATCAAGGATTATTGGCCAGTCATGACTTAAATCTTTAGGGACAGGTTCAGGTCGTGACAGTTATATTAGAATGTTATGTTTGAGAAAAGTACATTATGAAATTTTTGTGTGTTACATTAGAGTGTTCCAATAAGGAATTTTTTTGGAGTGTTATATTATAGTGTTACGTTTCGGGAAAGTACACTAAGGATTTTTTTTTTTTTTGGAGTGTTACGTTTGAGTGCTACATTGGAGTGTTACAGTTTGAAATTATATATATGTCCAAAACCTACTAAAAAAATTTTGTACTGCTTTTGAAATATTTGAAAAATCCCACATCCTTTTGGAATATTTAAAGAATCTCATATTTCAATTCATTTTTATACTCTTTTTGAAATGTTTTCCAAATAAAAAAAATTCTCATATAAAAATTCATTTCAAATTTGATTCTCTAATATACCTTACCTTTCTAGCATAAAAGAAAAAAAATGAAGGAAACATAATACAAATAAGGATATAACCGTAAATCTAATTTTTAAATAATTTAATACATATATCTTTTCATCATCAATAGGATTAATTGGTCTATATAAACGAATCACCATTTCTTAATATGAAATTTATAGATAAATTTTCCATTAATCAACGCATGTAAAATTGGCCCACCCAATGCTTATATAGCATAGCCACTTGGTGAAACAGAAGATATTGGTACATTTGGAAAGATGAACTTGGCCATGAAGTAAGGATCAACTGTGGTCAATAAACAACTCAACTATAGTTTTGGATAAGCTTAGGGGTGGAAGAAACCTCCTATTATAGAGGTGATTTTTGAAGGATACATGCTATTTTAATAATTTTTTAATTTTTTTATGAAGAAAAATATAGAAAAATAAAAAAAGTGATATGACAATTTATAGTAATTTTTTTGACTTCTTAACTAAAGTACTTATATGGTTTTATTTGTATATTAAACATCATTTAAGCTCTCTGGCTAACAATAGTTGATGAGGTGGTATTATTGATTTTTTTTTGTTTTTTTGGTAGATATAGATCGATGCGACTCATTTCTCCGTTAAACTCTCGATTAATTAGTTTAAGGCAAAAAGGGCCTCCACGCCTATTAACCATATTTTTAACAAAATGTAATTCCAAATAAATAATAGAGTACTTTTGACAAGCAAATGCTTCACGTACTAGAATTCTATCTTCAGGGGATAATCTAGTCATGTCCAGTCAGGCTTGTTGAACCTTGGGTTTGCTTACCCAAATTATTCCTTGTATGAAAAACACAAATCGAATTACTTCATAACCACAACTTTTGCATCAATACATAGGAATTAATTATTGGTTATACCTCCTAACCACAGTGACATACACAGATACTTGAGGATAAAATACTTATAACAAATACATATTTGAGCGAGTGAGAAATTATTATTATTATTATTCATTCCACTCATTTTACAAATTACAAATACAAAAAATATTTTAAAATATATCACATCATCAATTGGTACACTAGTTAGTACACTAATTGATACATATAGCATTATTCATTAACAATCTATAGCCAATTTAAGCTTTGTGAGGGAAAAGGCGAATCGGAAGGCCTTTTTGAGGATTAGGCATGGGATCGAAAACAATCTTCTCGTTGGGAATTACTTTCTCCCACTTGAACCTCTTTACCAGATTATGCATGAACACTAGTATTTCCAATCTAGCATACTCTTTTCCTGGGCACATTCTTGGTCCTCCTCCAAAAGGCACATATGTGTAAGGTACGGGTCCAGATCCCTCAAACGTTGATGGGTCAAACTTGTGTGGCTCGATGAAGAATTCTGAATTTTTATGTGTCGAGTTCGCACTCCAATATAACTGATGATTTCAAAATGAAAGAAGAAAAATAAAATGAAAATGACAAGGTGAAGTTATTAAGTAGCTTACAATTTCAAACAAGTACATAATACAAATAATCTAGTCCAGATCTAGACTAGAGGCAAACAAATAAAATAAAGATGGAATAGTTATCGGATTGACTTGATTTCTTTATGTGATGTATACGAAGAAGAGTCTTAAAAAATGAACGGTTTGAATCTAAACGAGTCCCGTAGTGGGTCCCATTGGCCCAAACAACACCTCTCTGATCCAGATCTAGACTGCAGAAATTCAAATCTCATAATTATATATGAAATTTTGGTTATTACCTTACAGCCTTTTGGAATTGAGAAACCATTGTACATGAAATCTGTCATTGCTTCTCTAAAAGTTCCTTGGAGGGGTGGTGCAAGTCTCATCACTTCACACGCTACATTCCATGAATACTTCATCTTCTTAATATCATCCCAGTTCAACAATTCCCCTGGAGCTTTTGATTTCGCAATTTCCATTTGCTCTGTTCACAACAATGCAAAATCATGCAATCATTTGCAATTAATTTAGTTACTTGATCTTCTTGTGGATCATTCGAATCTTTGGCTTCTTAGGGAAAATTAATAAAACATTAAAAGAAACATTATATTAAATAATTGATAATTTTTTCTAAGGTGGTTCAATTGGGCAGATACTACTCAATTCGAAACATTTCTTCCAGCTATTATAATTTGGGGTTGGTTTGACAAGTTTTCTTTTAATAACATTTTGTTTTCTATTTGGGTAAATTATACTTGCCTCCTTTGAGATTTGAAAAAAATACGGTCACCCCCATACCTTTAGTTATACCGATTTCTCTTTTAGTAAAACTAAATTGATTGAAACTAATGCAGATAGTGAAATAAATAAAGATAAATATATATTTTCATAAAAAAAATGATGACAATGTCCATTTTTTCATTTATACAACTAAGGAATTACTAATAAAAAATTGTCTAACTGTAATGTCAATTAAATTATCAAGAGATGTAAATGTAATTGTCAATAATATGGGCTTAACTATATTTTTCAAAAATTTCAAGGGATGTCAATGTAATTTACCCTTTCTATTTTAATTTTTTTTTTTACCTTTGTTAAGATAAAGTTGTTAATGCTTAAAAGTTATTTTTCGGTTTGGACCTGACTTATCTCCAATCTTGTGCCTACTGTGAGCCCATTATGGTCATCGTAAGTGCTACTCAAGTAGATTATTCACGTAAAAATTAAGCTGTTGGAGATTAATAGATATATAATTAAATTATATTTGTCTTTAAATAATAGAGATTTTTTTTTTTAGATCCCTGATAATATTTGTTTAGAAAGATAATGACAACATAATTGTCTATATTATGAGAAAAATAACCCTATTACACCCCTTCAAATACCACCTATTACTTTTTTTAACTCATTTAAAGTTTGAAAATTTTATAACTTTTGATCTAGTTTTATTTTTTTTTTGGTGACTAAATGTTTAGTAGCCAAAAAACAAAATAAAACTTGTTGGCTACTAAAAATTTAGTAGCCAAAAACAAACTAAAGATTTTTTGGCGATTAAAAATTTAGTAGTAAAAAATATATGAGACTTTAGGTGACTAAATAGTTTAGTAGCTAATAATAAATGATACTTTGGGCGACTAAAAGTTTTAGTCGCTGAAAATAAAAATTAATTTTATTTGAAAACTTTTGGCGACTAAATATTTAGTCGCCAATTTATGACTTTTGGCTATTAAAAAATATTTAGTCGCCAATACCTTGTACTTTTTCCTACTAAAACATTAATAGCCATTTATAGGACTTTTGGCGACTAAATCTTTTTTAGTCGCCAAAACCTTCCCCGACCGTTTTCCTGCGACAAATCTAGCGACCAAAATATTTAGTCGGGAAAAGGCTTCGGCGACTAAAAATCTTACTTTTGGCGACTAAAACTTTAGTCGCCAAAAGTGCATTTTCTTGTAGTGTTTTTTGTAATTTTGAAATCATTTCATTAAGATCTATGAAATAAGATGCATGATGAATACAAAATTATAAAAAGAAAAGGTGATGAAATTTTACTAACCTAAGATAGGTCAATAAAATTTTGGTTGGTCAGTAAAATTTCGATGACCAACTCAGTCTAAATTAGTGAGATTTTGGTTGGTCAATAAAATTTTGATGACCAAGTTAATGGTAAAATTTTGGTTAGTCGGTGAAATTTTAATTTAGTGAAATTTTACGTAGGTCAATGAAATTTCAAATAGGATTCTAAAGATGTAATAAAAAATTATTAAATTTTAAATTTTGAAATCACTTAAATAATGTAAGAACTCACAGAAGAGAGAAACAACATTACGAGAGATACAACAAAAAAGATTAAGATTTTTTGGATTATAAGGTCATTTTGGACTATATATGTTAAAATTTATCTTTATCACTTTAAGATTTCAAATTTCAGGGACTTTAACTAGCAAGTATGATTTCAAAAATAGTCTACTTATTTATTTATTTCATTTTCTAAATAGCAATATTAGATAACGTATGGCTATTAGTGATATGACTAAAAATATCAGACTGTATCAACTAATATACCAATAAATATATAACGAGTATTAGAGATTTCAAATATTAATAAGTATCGGCTGATATTTAGAGCACCATTAACACTTTCTTCATAATATCATCTAGCAACTAATTCAAAGGATTTTTTCACAAACCATCATATAACCAACAAGAATTTTATTGAAGATGGAGAGAGGGGGGTGGACACCGGTGACCCGAAAGAGAAGGCCAAGATACCAACAGATTCACTATAGGGGTGCAGGATTCATCACGGTTTTTGTCGATAATCTGCCGGAATCTATGGTGCCACGAAGTCTTTTTAAACTGTTCAGTAGCAATGGTGTGGTAAAGGATGTATTCATCCCAAATAAGAGGAGGAAAGCTACTGGTTCAAGATTTGGTTTTGTGAGGTATGACTGTGTTACAGCAGCCAGGGTAGCAGTCCAGAAAGCGAATGGAATATGGTGTGATGATAAGAGTCTAAAAGTGAGATTGGCAGAGTTTGGAAGCGATGCTCAGTATCCAAAGAAGGAAGAGGTTAGAAAAGGGAAGAGTGTACAGACGGAGCATTGGAAGCACGGTAAAACTACAACAGGGTTCAATGGTCAGAGATCTTTCGCTGATGTAGTACAAGGTACACGTAAGGAGAATACTGAGATAACCATAGATGTAAAGGAAGTTGGAAATGGTTGGCTTTACGAAAGTTTAGTTATTAAGCTAAAATCCTTCTTCTCCTTTAATGCTTTCAAAGAAGAATGCAGCACATGTCGACTAAATATTTAGTAGCTAATAATAAATGATACTTTGGGCGACTAAAAGTTTTAGTCGCTGAAAATAAAAATTAATTTTATTTGAAAACTTTTGGCGACTAAATATTTAGTCGCCAATTTATGACTTTTAGCTACTAAAAAATATTTAGTCGCCAATACCTCGTACTTTTCCATACTAAAACATTAGTAGCCATTTATAGGACTTTTGGCGACTAAATTTTTTTTAGTCGCCAAAACCTTCCCCGACCGTTTTCCCGCGACAAATCTAGCGACCAAAATATTTAGTCGGAAAAAGGCTTCGGCGACTAAAAATCTTACTTTTGGCGACTGAAACTTTAGTCGCCAAAAGTGCATTTTCTTGTAGTGTTTTTTGTAATTTTGAAATCATTTCATTAAGATCTATGAAATAAGATGCATGATGAATACAAAATTATAAAAAGAAAAGGTGATGAAATTTTACTAACCTAAGATAGGTCAATAAAATTTTGGTTGGTCAGTAAAATTTCGATGACCAAGTCAGTCTAAATTAGTGAGATTTTGGTTGGTCAATAAAATTTTGATGGCCAAGTCAATGGTAAAATTTTGGTTAGTCGGTGAAATTTTAATTTAGTGAAATTTTACGTAGGTCAATGAAATTTCAAATAGGATTCTAAAGATGTAATAAAAAATTATTAAATTTTAAATTTTGAAATCACTTAAATAATGTAAAAACTCACAGAAGAGAGAAACAACATTACGAGTGATACAACAAAAAAGATAAAGATTTTTTGGATTATAAGGTCATTTTGGACTATATATGTTAAAATTTATCCTTATCACTTTAAGATTTCAAATTTCAGGAACTTTAACTAGCAAGTATGATTTAAAAAATAGTCTACTTATTTATTTATTTCTTTTTCTAAATAGCAATATTAGATAACGTATGGCTATTAGTGATATGACTAAAAATATCAGACTGTATCAACCAATATACCAATAAAAATATAACGAGTATTAGAGATCTCAAATATTAATAAGTATCGCCTGATATTTAGAACACCATTAACACTTTCTTCATAATATCATCTAGCAACTAATTCAAAGGCCACAAATAAGGTCTCATTTGGCAACTTTCAATTTTAGTCAAAACAATCACTATAAATTATTATATCACTTTTTTTATTTTTTGGTATATCTTTTTGTAAAAAATTAAAAAAATTACTAAAATAACCTATTTGACTAGAACACCATTAACACTTTCTTCATAATATCATCTAGCAACTAATTCAAAGGCCACAAATAAGGTCTCATTTGGCAACTTTCAGTTTTAGTCAAAAAAATCACTATAAATTATTATATCACTTTTTTTATTTTTTGGTATATCTTTTTGTAAAAAATTAAAAAAATTACTAAAATAACCTATTTGACCTAGGTGACAATAAACCAACATTGAATTGTGGTATTAAAAAAGTGCCAGAGAGAATCCGAAACTGTACGTGCTTATAGAATAGAATAAATATGCATGCATAGATACGTACCCTCGTACACTCGTTGATAAACATGAGGAAGCTCCGCAAGAAACATGACAACGGAAGCGCAGACGGAGCTAGCAGTGTCGTGGCCACCAATCAACAAACTCAAGATTTTATCAGCAATCTCAGCCTCTTTCATGAAATTTCCATTTTCATCACTCGTCACAAGCATATGTGACAATATATCTTGTGTCCGCGAAGCCTTTCCATCTCCCAAATCAACCTTTCTCTGCTTAATAATCGCCAAAAGCTCCTTCCTAATAAACTCCGAGGCCTTGATAGCTCTCCGGAACGGTGTTCAAGGCAAACACTACAAGAAATAAGGGTTTTTGCGGCGTTTTTTTAACGACGTTTTTTAAAACGTCATTTTTATTAATATTTAACGACGTTTTAAAAACGTCGCATATTTTTTTAATTAAAACGACACAGTTTTGTAATTGAAGGCGTTTTTGTCGACGGAGCTAGGCCACCATGCTTGGACGAGTCTGTTCTCGTTCAAGAATAAGAACTTGTTACCAGCTGCACCGGCGAACACTACTGTTGTGGAGCCTAGAAGATTTATCTTGAAGACGTAGGATGAGTAGTTGGATATGCGGTCGAATACGAATTTTTCCGGGTGACCTCTCCAGCCGGTGGCCAGGAACTCGAGGGTCTCGCCGATCAACGGCCACCCAGTGGAGCCAGGCGGGAGGGTGAGGTTTTTGAAGTTGGATTTGTAGAAGAGTAAGACAAAGAGAAGAAAGAGGCAGAGGAGAGAGAGGAAGAAGAACTCCATATCTACTATAGTTGCCTCAACAATTCAATGGGTTGTGGAATGAGTTTGGAACCAAGTCGAGTAATATTTATAGAACCATGCTAGCAACCAATTGAATTATCAAATATTTTATATAATATTTCGGAGAAAATTTAATATTTTTTCCTTTTTAAAATAATAGCCTTTTTTAGAGAATATAATTTTTTTTAATAGTGCAATTGTTACAGTTCAAAAATATTCACTGTATTTGGTTTTAATTTTTAAAAATTAAATTTTTTATTTTTCATTTTTTTTTTTTGGTTTTGGTGAATATTTTTAAAATTTTAAGCAATTTTTTTACTTTTTTAAATGATTTGCCGGATTTGGACTCTTTGGTTCAGACTTAGAACCGTGACAATTTTAGAATCCTGAGCTGCAGTGACCCCAAATGAACAGAACGAGAGCTTACCCTCCCGGGGCGTTCGGGGGACGTCTACAGTATCTAAATAGTAAGATATTTGTGAAAAAATATTTTTAAAAATTAATAGATACACTAAAATACAAAAAATGTATTGAATTTTAGTTTCTATTTTTTTGTATTTTTGGTATTTAGTGAATTTTTTAAAAAAAAGTTTTACAAATATTATACTTTTTAAATGTATTTATATTTGGTGTGTCTAATAATTAAAAAAATTGCCTAAAATATTAAAAAAATTCATTGAAAAAAAAAACGAAAAATAAAAAAATAAAATTTTCTTAAAAGTGTTTTCTGAAAACCAAAACCAAACAAGCTAACTAATTTTTTAAAACTACCTTTCATTTAGAACATCAATTGTCATAATTAATAAATTTAAAAGAATAAAAAAATAAGAAATTCATGTTAAATGGACTAATGTTTTGAGACAATGAAAAATAGAATAAGAGACTAATATTTTAGAACAGATTGAATAATTTATTTTAGATCTCTAACATTTCTTTTTTTTATAGAAATTTGGAATTGGTGAGCTAATTTTAGAGCCGACCTCTATGATTCAAACTATTCACCTTTTAGTATTCGTTAAATAGAATATTCATAAAAAAAATTAAAATAATCGAATATTGATAAATATGCGTTTGAATTATATTTGTATTACAAAAATGAATAGTTATTATTGAAATAATAATTATCATACATTTTTTAAAAATAAATATGATTTAAACATATAACCATCAATGTTTGATCAATTTTTTACATAAATTTTCTATGAGCATTGATATTCAATCCCAAAAATTAGACTCATTTTTTAAGCCTAATGATGTGATAATTAATTAGGATATTTAAAGTAATACTCTGTCTCATATTTTTTTTTTAATTATCAACTAATCATATGACTTATAAAATTAGATTATTCAAAGATAAGCCGTAAATCAGTTATTTACGAAAACTAATTAAACCACCAACAATGCTAGAGGGCCATAATTTTTGTGGCCACAATGGCTCAAAACTGCTAAAACGACGTCGTGTTGGGTGCAAAACATGCCAAAACGACGTCGTTTTAGCAGTTTTGAGCTATTGTGACCACAAAAATTGTGACCCTCAAATATTTTCCTTAAACCACTGCTCTTCTTCCGATTTCCCTTCTCTCTCCAATCACCCAACCTCCGTTGTAACTTCACACTTTCTCCCTAAACACACTAACTCCAAAACCCAAGGCATAACAATATCTTCAGGTTTAGAATCTCATCCAATAATTATCACAATTACAATTGCAAATGGGAAATTCAGTTCTGATTGGCAGTGCTTAATAAATCACATTTTTTAGGCTTCTTTGTTGGTGTTCAATGAGGAACCCTTTTCAAACTTCTGTGGCTTGCCTAGAGGATATGAACCATCACTTATATATCATTAAACGTAGAAAAAAAAAAGTTTATAAAGTGAACTTTATATTATTTTTTATTTTTACGCAACAAATTTTAAAAAGCAATTCATATCACTAAAATCAACAACAAAATTAACCTTAAATAAGTGTTCTGAAATCAAATGGCCAACCAATGCTGCACCTATTATTATTAGGTAACAGTTTCTTTCAATCCAGAATCAAATTAGATGGTATTGTTGGGTTGTGGTGAGTACGATTTCAAGCCCCTCCTACTGATCTAAATCATTTAATGTGTAGAATTTTTCAAATATATCATTCTTTAAAAAATTACGTTAATCAAATATCGATAATTATTTGATCAATTTGCAGTTGTTTTTTATTATTTTAAAAATAAATTAAAAGAACAAATATAAATTAATTAAATGACTATCAATATCTAATTAATATAACATTTTACAATGTTTGGTTTGTGTTTGTAGAGTAGTTTTTGAGATAAAAAGTACGAAAACTTGTTTGACTTGTCTTTTTTCAGAAATAATTTTGGAAAATTGTTTTGGAGAGAAAGTTTTAAAAAAAGTGATTGATTTGATGTTTATGAGAGAGAGAGTGATTTTGAAAAGTGGGTAACCAAATAAAATTTTGAGAATTTTTTTGAAAAAATTCTCAAAATTTAATTACTCTTGAAAATTTATTTATAAAAAAAAAATTCAAAATTTTTTCTGAAAAACAAACCAAATAAAACCAATATACTTGATAACTTTTACGAATTGAATTAAAATGACCCTAAAGTCGACCCCACCTTGATTCAATGGTACTGTCCAATGTATTTTCAAACAGCAATGATAGAGATCATTAATTTTAAAACTCTAAAAAGATCACTAATGACATGACACTCAATAAAAAAAGAAAAAAAATACAACATCAAGATTAAAATATCAAATCATTCATGGTGAGACTCACTACTACGTCATTAATAGTAACATTAATTAATACTCTCACTCATTTTCCATTTTCAAACTGGGGAAGGGCTAGACTTGTAACGCCCTCAAAATTAACCCATTATATATCATTGACATGCATTATTTAAAGAAGACAATTTATGAATTCATTCATCAGAGTAATACTAAATAAAGCATTACATGTAATATCGAATAAAACGCCCTACAGGCTTACATCTTTCCAAGCCAACACTTGGATACAAAAAAAATATGAGTTCTAACTCAATACAAGGAAAGCCCTGGGCTTGAATGTTTACATGTAATAATAATTAAAGACAATTAACTAAAGGTAGTCTATTCTCTCAAGGATCTCAAACGGACCAATGAATCGAGGGGACAACTTCCCACTCTTCCCAAACCTCATCAAACCCCGTCTAGGTGATATCTTCAGAAAGACATGATCACCCACCTCAAACACCAAAGGTCTCCTCCTACGGTCGACATACGATTTCTGACGACTCTGTGCTGTAACAAGCCTCTTACGGATAAGCTCAACTTTCTCCGTCGTTTCCCTCACCAACTCTGGACCCAACAGAGGTGCATCACCCACCTCAGCCCAACAAACAGGAGATCCAATTCAATAGGCGAGTGATTTAAATTATCCAACTACGCCATTTAATCAATGAATTCCCCAATTCCATGAATTTAACCATCTTTTCCCAATTCCATGAATTACTTATACAAATCAATTCA